TGCATTTTAGGATAGCTTTTCATCTGCAGACCGAAGGTCAGAGCGAGCAAACCATTCAGACCCTTGAGGATATGTTGAGGGCATGTGTCATTAACTTCGGTGGGAGTTAGAATTCCCACCTACCCCTAGCAGAATTTTCCTAAAACAACAACTATCATTCCAGAATTGGCGCCCTGCCTTTCGAGTTGTTGTATGGTCAGGGATGTTGCATCCCGGTTTGTTAGGGTGAGGTCGGACCCACGGTGATGGGATGGACAGAGGTAGTCTTGCAAACTACCGAGAAGATTCAACATATTAGGCAACGACTGCAGACCGCTAAGAGTCGTAAGAAGAGTTACGCCGATAGAAAGAGGTAGTCTTGCAAACTACCGAGAAGATACAACACCTTTCATGTTTTACAATTGTGGAAGTGCATTATGGATGAAGAGGCAGTAGTATCATTGGATGAAATTCAGGTCGATGAGCGCCTGAATTATGTTGAGAGGCCTATGGCCATTCTACAGAGGAAAGTGAAGGTTCTGCGGAACAAAGAGATACCTTTGGTAAAGGTATAGTGGGAGCACTGAAAGGGGTCCGAGTGGACGTGGGAGCCGTAGGCGCAAATGCGGGAGCACTATCCAGGGTTGTTCACCGAAACAGACTTCGAGGACAAAGTCTAGTTCAAGTGGGGGAGAACTGTAACTCCACGACACTCAGGTGATAATTTTATAGCTTTAATTTCCATAATTGCAAGGTCTATTCGATTATTTGGATGCTCTGATTCATCGATTAGAAGCGGGTTAGGCCACGTGTTTATGTGACCTACTCGTCGAGTCCAAGAATGGACTCGACTAGTAGTAGTTGGAGGATGAAACCCTAAATTTCGGGGTTTTGCACCCTATTTAAAGGATCATAAACCTCCTTTATCCCCCTTGCAGCCTCTTGAGAGTCCAAAAAATCATAATCTGTGTGTGTGCTTCATTCTTGTGTGTTTTAAGCTTTGGAAGGTGGATCTTTGTAAGAAGAGCTTGGCGGGAAAGAGGTTAGAAGCAAGGAGCATGTAGGGATCTGATATCTACCTTAGTTAACATCTTTTGGAAGGTATCAAGTCGTTATCTTGACCTCATTTCATTAAAGATCTCATTTGGTTAAAGATTAAGCCTTTTCTAGCATAATAAGAATCTATTCTTGGGGTATGAGCTAAGATCTGAAGTTGTAACTTCAGATCTGAACTCCCTTTGGTCTCTAAGCCCATAAAGCTTTCAGATTTAGCAAGTATGAGCCTCTCCTTAAGTGTAAAACTCCATTGCAAGCTTGGTTTTGGCATTATGAGCTTTGCATGCACGTAAAGTTTGCAACTTTACGTGATAAACATGCCTTGGGAAGCTGGATCTACAATATGGAGCCTTAAAATGGATTAATAAGCATTTGAATGGAGAATGGACTGAATGGACTTGGCGAGTAGCATGGTCAACTCGGCGAGTCCGATGAAGATTGTCGTACAAGGACTTCTGCATGAACTCAGCGAGTCAGAGGGGTGACTTAGCGAGTCAACTTGAGTGTTCCCGACTTTTGGACACAGTTCGAGTAGAAGTTGCAGGGAAACTCGATGAGTCAGTGAGGGTTTTCACGACTACTCGAGTTCTGGAAGGACTCAACGAATCAGTGACTACACTCAACGAGTTGGGTTAATCTGGATTGTTGACCTTTATCTTTGACTTTGACTTTGACCAAGGGCTGACTATTTGACTTGTGGGACATTTTAGGAAATTGGAAATTTATGAGTGTGGTTATATGGTGAATATAGGTGGTGGAGTTTGTGGAGGTGATCCGAGAGTTTGAGCTTATCTTTTGAGTCGACAGTTGCGAGGTGAGTTATCCTCACTATATCAATACGGTCTAAGGCACCAAGGGCAGCCCTTTATGGATTGTATCTGGATTATGGCATGATATGTTTATTGATTACATCTTGGTAGTTAGGATGGTGATATGCTTATGCTTAGTGACCTGGTTAGGTCGGTGTCCTGGTTATAGGATGATGCTATGTTAGTGACCAGTTAGGTCTGTATCCCGGTTATCGGGATGTTGCCATGATTAGTGATCTGTTAAATCGATTTGACTACTATATGATATGAGCTAGCATATGATATATATATATATATATATATATGTGTGTGTGTGTGTGTGTGAAAATGTTCATTTGGTTTGGGGTTGGGTAGAGGTGGTCCTGCTTTGTGCTATAGGCCAACATACCCGACGAGCAGTCCAGATAGGCTGTAGGCCCTGTGAGGCAGTCCAGTCATGCCGAAGGATCGGGAGCGGTCCAAATAGGCTGTAGGCCCTACGAGGCGGTCTAGACAGGCTGAAGGCTCATTATGCATGATGTTATGTACTTTTTGATATAATATGATTATGGTTATACGAGTTTGGTATTTTGGGGTAACTCACTAAGCTTTCGGGCTTATAGCTTCAGTTTATTGTTTCAGGTTGGTATTTTGGAGGCTGGATTTTTTTTGACAATTTAATTCAACAAATAAAAGAAAATAGGTAAATACTATACATCGATGAAATGATGATGTTACAACAGGTGGAAGTAAACAATTCAAAGAAGAAACTGTGAACAGAAGGAGGTGGCGAACCGAGTCCACAAAAGAGGCTGGAGGTGGCGGTAAGTGGAAAAGGAAGGTGTTAATAAGCCGAATGGAGGTGTGAAGAAGAAAGAGACAAGTATAAATAAGTAACATAGAGGACATGATCAACATACCTAAAGAAGTGGAGGTGTCGTATGAAGAAAAAGCGGTGTAATCTACATCTACCGGTTAAGCAACACGTTTTCAGATGTCACTTGAAACCAAGCAAAAGCTTGAGCTTTGTTGGAAACACCGCCAAACAAGGAATAGAGGCGGTGAAGCAACCAAGCTGCTGACCACATATAAGTTAAGAATGACCGCTTATCGCCTTATTATTGGAGGAAGGAATCAGCTCGTCAACGTATACCAAAAGCAGGCACCTTGGCGACACAGGCAGGCATCCAAGTTGCTCAACACATATACGTTAAAAATGGCCGCCCACCGGTCTTTCTATTGGAAATTGAAGAACTCATCGACGTGGACCAAAACCGAAACCTTTAACATATAGGTAATGATATATATATATATATATATATATATATATATATATATATATATATATATATATATATATATATATATATATATATATATATATATATATATAATGAAAATTTTTACCTTGTATCCAAAAAATTGTTAGTCTTCGAGAAGTTCATTCAATAAAAAATGTTGTTATTTCGTTTGAAGAATGATATTATCATTCTAACAGAATGTCATTCTGTTAGAATGAAATCGGATATGATTAAAAGTTACATAAGAATTAAAACTGAAGGTAATTAATTATCCCCAAAAGTTTGAAATTTTTCTTTTTTAAATTTGTTTCAATTGACTAAAATACCCTTATAGTAAAATTAGATGATATTTTTGACTTATTTTTAATTCAATAATATTTATTAATCGTTTTGTTAAAATAATCTAAATGATTGGTTCATTATCAACTATACATCCACATCTACAATAACCTATATATATATATATATATATATATATATATATATATATATATATATATATATATATATATATATCACGATGTATGTCTAAGCTCCATTATGTAAAATTTCAGGCTTCGCCACTACTAACATCTATTTTTATGACGACGGTTAGAGTGAGCATCTGGACCTTTAGACTGGACCATAACAGGTTCAGTCTAAGGTCCACTAATTTTTGAAAAACCGGTCCTGTGCGATTCCAGTCCGTTTCGTTTCAAATACTTACTCCTACAGTCGTAATAGATAAACTAATTTTTGATAGGGCTTCAACGAATTGTATTATATGCACCCACAGTTGTACCAATCAAATATGTCAAAAATCGAAAAACCCGGACCTAGATCGGATCTGGACCGACCTCAATCAGTCCAGTCTAAGAGCTATCATTGTCTGTCAAACTGGTATGGTAGAAGAGCCGATTAAGTGTGGTTCGGTATAATTGCTCACTCTTATAAAGATATGCATAATGGATTTTTTTTGTTGGTACGGGTGAAAAAAATGAATTCATCAATTCCATTAAAATAAATCCACACATCATATACTAAAACAATTATTTCCAAGAGAAATCATTAATTAGTATCTTGATAATGAGTCTCCTCGATTGGCTAGGCCAACCTGGATCAGATTTACAAATTATGGCATTTTTAGTCACGGGTGGAGTACTCTCTATTTCTAAATATATTAATTTTTGTACGTTATCTGGATCACACGTAATTATATAACATTCTTTATGTTTCCTAAATATAAAAGGTACATCTCCAATAAAAGACTAAATCAAGAAAGAAGGTAAATTTATGGACCTAATTGACCAATACATGCGTACATCAAGACTCTTAACTATTTCCGTGAACAGTTTAAATAGAATGGCTGGACCATGATTATTAAACGAAGTACAGCTTCTATGAAAGAAATGATGAAAGAATATTTTTTATTTCTTAGTAATAGTAATATATAATATTTGATGGATCAAATTCTAACACCCGTGTCCGACATCACGCCAAGCAAAGCTCTTACATAGTTACATGTTATTACGTGGGCTCTCGTTTATAAAATATTAGAAAACATTTAACCAAATTACTTTTTTCGTCATGAAAATATTCATTATTCTCATTTGGGCCGAGCACGGGAGCAAAGATTCTCTTTGAATTTGGTGCAGTATCTTGTCTTAAAGTACCATCCAATGAAACTAGTTCCTGTATTCCTTCACATGCATGTTAGGGATCTCTAATAATAGGATAAGCTTCTACTACATCCTTTAAAATGTGTATCATGTAGAGTCACGTTCCTATTAATAAACTACTCCATTTTTTATCTATATAAACCCTACAATCACATATGAAACCTCACCCTACATCCCTCCTTCCAACTAAATCAAATTCTGGCCGATAGTTGGAACCAATGGCTTTCAACAAATCTTCCACTTTCTTCCTAACTATTAACATCCTCTTCTTTGCAGTCACACAGGCTTGCTTCACTTGCCACACTCCATCTGTTCCATTGCCGGAAAAACCCATTGCTCCAAAGGGAAACTGCCCTAGGGATGCCCTGAAACTGGGTGTGTGTGCTAAGTTGCTTAATGATTCCATTGGGACTGTCATTGGTAACCCACCGGACCACCCCTGCTGCTCAGCCCTTGGTGGCCTTCTCGACCTTGAAGTCGCAGCCTGCCTTTGCACTGCTTTGAAAGCCAATGTTCTAGGGATCAACATTAATATCCCTATCTCACTTAGCCTTCTTGTTAACACTTGTGGCAAAGAGCTCCCAAAGGATTTCATTTGTGCCTAGAAAATGTGGAAGAATTTGCCAAAGACCTCCCTACATTCATTGTGTCTACGAGTTTCGTTTTACTTATTGTGTTTGCTTTACAATGTGATTTCCCAGTTCAGTAGCATTTCTTTTTCAGTTTAGGTGATTGTTGAGCATCAACTTGGTTCAGATGCTCACGTTGTTGTACTTTGATTTAGCAATGTATTGTACCCTTGCATTAGTTTGCAATCGATGTGATATATAATTGATTGTTTCGAACTTGTTCACAGCAACTTGATTATGATGAATTAAACCCTATAAACTGAAAATTTCCTTGAAGGAAAACTTTCAGCAGTCAAGACATTTGGTCTGAGATGAACAGCAGACCCTGAGACCAGAACAAGAAATGGTCTCGCTGGCCACCGATAAGCAAATTGACTGCCTTCATGTCCGATATCCATTATATCGAGCTTTCCATAATTTTCAAGATACTCCCTTTTTTTGTTTTCTATATATTATCTAATCACGTGAATATCAAGAATATTACTAACGTAAGAGGATTTCAAAATATCACATTTTACTTTGAAATTCAATTTTTTTTGCCAAACGTATAAAAACATCAAAGTTATATAAAAGAATATTTTGTAACATTAGAAGGTATTCTTCAGTATTTGATGTTTCTCTCCCGGAAGTATATCGATGTGTTACCAGAACAAATTAAAAGATCATATTCGATTATATCGTCTAGATCTTTCAGCAATTAACTATCGGTACTACGTTAGGTGATTATTTGTAAAGATGCCTTCCTAAGTATCGGGTCATTGAAAAGCATGAAGAAAAAAAGTGCATCTTTAAAAACTTTGTGCTGAAATCGAAGCTTTAAACATGAAAAGATTGCCAGTTGTTTTACAAAGTTTATATATCTTATGCGCATTATGTTGAAGAACTTAAGCATCTTAATGTTCTTACCTTATTAATGAATTGATCCGTTAGGTTTTTTGTAATACAACAATATCGATATTTAGTGGCGACGGGCGTCGCCGTTAAGATACAAATGTCGCCACTAAAGGTATTAGCGGAGACCTGTGGCCATTAAAGGGTTGACGTTGTTGGTTCGTTGCTAATGCTCCATTTGTTGTTGATACCGCCTTTCGTCACCGCTAAAGGTATCTCCCCCCTAATGCTCTATATCACCACTAATACTTCGTCGTCAGTAATGCTCACTGTCACGCCTAATGTTCTTCATCGCCACTAGTTGTAGTTTTCTACCTTTTTAGATGTGGTTTGGTTCGTATAATGTTTCAGAAGAAACTTGAATCGGAATTGGAAAATGAATTTGTTGAGAATTTCAAGCCAATTCTATATCCTATTTGGTTGGTAGGAAATGGAATTTAAATTAATTCTGAATTATGTTTGATTCTCACGAAATGGAATTGAAATCATGTAAAATGATAGAATTACTCTTTTTGTCCGCTTTGCTTAATTTTACATTATTTTCTAACTTATATGTAAAGATACATTATATAAATTATAAAAATAGTAAGATTTTCGGCACTGATGGCAGTAGTGGTGGTGGAAGTGGTGGCCGCAGTGGTAGTGGTGTTAAATGGAACATCTCCAATTTCACGGCTAGAAAAAACCGATTTCGCTTATACTTTTATAATAAAATCAAAGTAATTTTTCAAAGAAAAGTGTTATTAAATTTGTTTCCAAAACAAAATATGATAAAGATTTATTAAAGCATTTCCTTACAAAAATGTATTTTCATTATATTACAAAACTCTAGATGTCAACATCGATACAGATCAAAAGCATAAACCAAAAACATTATGGGCCACAACACAAAATTGGCCTCAAAAACAACATAAGCGTTACAACATTCTATTTATTTTCTATTGGCCTAAAATCCATAATCTCTCCTCATATCATCCAGCTATGCTCTTGCCACTACCTGTAATACAAGAAACTAAGTGAGCCAGGTTGGAAAACCTGGTAAACATATAGGGTTTCAACCCCACAATAAATAAGTTTATTATTTTCAATAATTACTGAACCCGATTACCCGTTCTCGTTATCCTCATTTTACGTCCCTAAAAAAAACTATTATAAGGGACCTATCCTAAGGAATTTCATCAAAATGGACACTACTGCTAAGGAGATTCCTTAGCCATATAGGTCCGTAAGGAAATCATGGAGGGGATGGAGTACACTGGTGAACACATAGTTCACAAACACCTACTGGTTGCGAGCGTGCTAGCGTTCCACTGGACTTCCTAAAAAGGTTTGTGGTCCTCATCCATATTCCACTAGATGACTGGATCATCGTCAACAACGATGCCCCTTATCATTTTATTTCATCACACACCAACTATTTCATCTACTAATGTTTTACCCAACATATTTGTAAATATAAAATACATATATAATTTAGATATGAAAACGAAGTTTAAATCTTTCATACATCATAGATCTCAAGTATAAATATTATATATATATATATATATATATATATATATATATATATATATATATATATATATATATATATATATATATATATATATAGAGTCAAGATCAAATAAGAAGGAAATTTTTGGTAGGAAGGTAAGAAGTTTTTTATCTACATATTTTTTTCACGAACAAACAAAATGAATCATTAGATTATTCATTTGTAAGATGATTCACAATAAAAAAAATCTCAAAAAAACATCTCGATGATTCATTTATACAATGATTTTGTTGTTATTCACTAAAATTATCATAAAAATGAATTTTTTCTTAATTTACTTAAAAATGAATCATAAAAATGTTTTTTTTGGGAATTTTTTCTTGTGAATCATCTTACAAATGAATCATCTAGTGATTCATTTATTTTGTTCGTCAAAAAATATGTAGAAAAAAAAACTTCTTACCTTCCTACCAAAAAAAATTTCTTACCGGATCTATATCCTATATATATATATATATATATATATATATATATATATATATATATATATATATATATATATATATATATATATATATATAAACTTTAGATCTGAAGTGAGAAATTCTAGATCCGAAGGAAAAAGTTCAGATCTGGAAGAAAAAGTTTATATTTGAAAGAAAAAGTTTAGATCTGAAGGGAAAAGTTTAGATTTAAGGAAAAAGTTCATATCTGAAAAGAAAGAGGTTTAGATCTTCCATCCAGTATATATCTCAAGTAAACATATAATATATATACACATAGCACATAATTTATATAAAATACTTCATATCTATGTGTAAAATGAAAGTGACTATACACTCACTTGATAAGGTGGTGATTCAGACAGTGTTTCGCTTCTTAAGAGGGACACGCGTCGAATCCTCAGTGGCTCATTGTGGCATCTTCTGGACCGAGCAAAGTGAGACCGCGGAGCGTATGGACTTCGTCCGCGAAGCGTACTCGAACGTGAGGCGTCCTTCGGACTACGCGAGGCGTAGCTTCGCACCCAGCTTGCAATTTACACCTTCAACTTCTAAAATTCATAACTTTCGCATACAAGCTCCGTTTTCGACGTTCTTTATATCCACACGTACTCTAAAACTTTTGTTTAGACTCCGTCGGCTAATTTTGAATCTATTTTTAAAGTCATATTTTTAATAGGCCGGGACACGAAAAGTCCGTTAAAAATTCATAACTTCTTCATCCGATGTCCGTTTTCGTTTGTCTTTTTGCTGTTGAGCTACTATTAATGACACATTCGATTCTCGTTTAGGTTGTGTCAGCCGAAACCCGTTCGATCCAATATTCAAAGTTCGAGTTGCATACTGCTAAGCTGAAACTTAGAAAAATAATAATTTTCCAATACGAAGTTAGATTTGGGTGTTCTTTTTCTGCACGCTCTTGGTTTAGCGAACACTACGACTTTCGTTTGGATCGCTAAAACTAAAAAGCACTTTATCTTAAACTCACTTTTTTACGTCCGCAATGTCGTGTCGGTTCTGTTACGAAACTTCAACATGTCATAACTTCTTCATTATAACTCGGATTTTGGCGTTCTTTATATCCTCGGAATCCTTGTCACGACCACTACAACTTTCTTCATAAATATTAGGCTTATCTAATGTTTTATTTTTTACACTTATTTTTATTATATCTTTACAAACAAGTATATAATCACATAAAAGAACCTAATTCACATAATATTCAAGTATTTCATCTTTATTACTTTAAAATATGTTACAACAGTTGACCTAGACTATTACATAATCACATCAATGCTTAGCCTCGAAACACGGGCGTTACAGTAGGTGATTGTAATGGTGGCGGCGATGGTAGTAATGGTGGAGATGGTGGAAATGGTAGTGGCGGCGGCGGTGTTTGTGGTGGTGCGTGACGGTGGTGGTGGTGGCAACAGTAGTGGTGGTGGCTGCGGTGGAGGTGGTCGTGGTGGCGGTGATGGTAATGGTGGCAACGATGATCGTAGTGGTGGCGGCAGTAGTGATAGTGTTGGCGGCGGTATTGGTGGTTGTAGCGGCGATGGTGGTTGTGGGGGTAGTAATTGTTTGTAGCGGGTGATGGTAGTGGTGGTAGTGGCGACGACAGTTGTTGTTGGTGGAGGGTGATGATAGTGGTTATGATGGTGGAGGTGGCAACGGCGAGGATGGTGACGACGGTAGTAGCATTGGTGGTGGCAGTGGCGGTAGGTGGAGGTGGCAGTGGTAGTTGGTGATTAGTAGCCTTAGTGATGGGTGTTGGTTTTCTAATAAGTAAATGGGATATTTTTGTAATCTGTCACTTCCCTTGATGAAAATGAAATTTTTTCATCCAACTTTGGAAGAAATCTACTTTTGTCTATATGGTAGAAATTTAATTCATGTTGAAATCCCCTCCCCCTTCTAAGTCCAACCAAACGCTTGAATTCGAGGGAATTATAATCATTTTCCCTCGAATCTTATTCATTTCCTACCAACCAAATGTACCCTTTGTCTTTTTATTATTTAACATTAAAAGTGCAGAAAATCAGTATAAAAATATAAAAAAACGCTATGAAATATTAATTGCAGAATAG